TCTGTCTCACTAATGGTAAGACAGATGAGAGAGAGAGAGAGAGAGAGAGAGAGAGAGAGAGAGTCTAAAAAACCCAATAATGTGATTTCTTCTTTCTCCTCCTCCTCCTCCTCCTCTTCACCTCCATCTTATCCTCTCCTAGGACATAAACAAGCCCTTGTGTTGGACATGTCTATGGTTAGTGGGGTAGGAGGAGGAGGAGGAGGAGGAGGTAGGGAGAGGCGCCCTTTGAGACATATTACATCATCGGTCACGCAACCATCGGCACAGCGAAGGAAGAAGGAAGATACATAGAGGAAGATAGAGAGGGAAGATATAGAACACACGAATAACAGTGAATAAGGAAATAAAGAAAAAAAATATGATCCAAAACGTAAAAGACATGTAAAAAAAAAAACAATAAGAAATGGGAATAGGATATAAGTGAAGAAATAGAAGATAATGGTGAGGATAAAATCATAAAAAATAGATGGGAAATAGATGATAAATTATGATAGGGAGAAAATTTGGGGGAATTAATAAGAATTGTAGAAAAATAGAGAAGAATAAAAATATATATAAAAGGTTAATGGTAAGAAGAGAAAGGGATAGCATAGAGCAGGGAAGTAATAGGTAAAAGGAAACTACAATGGGTTAAAATAGGGAAAAAGTAATGGTCTGGTAATAAGATAGAGTGGGGGAAACACGAAGGGAAATTAGGGGAGGATATGACCAGTAGGGAATTATAAAAGGGAGTGAAAGATATGTGAAGGGAGAGAGGAAGGGAGACGAATATTCATTAATATATATCAAAGATTTGATAGTAAGAGAGAGAGAGAGAGAGAGAGAGAGACGTTTTAAAGCCCTTGTAAGCTCTTTTGTTCCTTTAAATATATAAACTAATTATAATTTGTTGTTTCATAGCGTCGAGTGTCGCTCCAGTTGTTTGTAAATAAGTTTCTGAATTTAGATATCTCTCTCTCTCTCTCTCTCTCTCTTCTCTAATTTACTCCTATTTCCCACTAATTTGTATATATTTCTTCATTATATATATATATATATATATATATATATATATATATATATATATATATATATATATATATATATATATATATATATATATATATATATATATATATATTTATAAACCTCTATCCATACGTCTTTCTATATCTCTTCCTCTCTTTCTCTATCTACCTACTAGTCTCCCCACATGTCTCTTTCTCTCATTCGGTATTATATTTTCTCATATATTTTTCTTATTTAATACGTCTCAAACTTTTTATCTGCATCGTCCCCCCAAAAAATAAACCAAATAGAAACTAATGTTGAAGAGAAGAAATGTAAGTGGTAAAAGAGTTTTGTACATATATGAAAGCAAAATAAAATTGGTAAAAATACGAAATAAGGTTCAAGCTAAATTCTATTGTCAGGAAAAACAACTTATCAAAATGCGTACAAAGTCTTTTTTCATCTCATAAGACTTAGTTAATAAAGCACTACGTAAATCACAATAATTCCTAAATGAAAAATCATAATCTCATTGCGTTTTGTCATTAAGTAAAATATATCTCTAAAAGAGTTTTAATAAGCAAGGCTGTGTACGTAAACAAGAGTGTTATATGTTGTTGTTCTTAAATGATATACTGTTAGGGTGAGAAACATACAGTAGAGTTAAATGTAAGGGAGATTCTGAAATGGTTTAACTTCGGTGCAGAATCATCCACTTCTCATCTCACTGTCCATACAGACCCTAAATACATGACGAATTCTGCAAGAACGCTAAGATCGGAAGTGGACATTCTGTACAGAGGTTAAACTATTTCACGTTGGAGTCGACCAACTCTCTCTCTCTCTCTCTCTCTCTCATTTATCTATACGTTGCTAACCCATCACGTTTCATTTATCTTCTGGCACGACCAACGGAAGTGCAGTTCGGCTTTGGCTTCGTCGACATGATCCGTGTGGGTTAACAAGGTTCCGTGTTATTGTGTGTATTTGTATATGAGCGCGTCTTCAATATGTTCGTGTGTGTGTGTGTGTGTGTGTGTGTGTGTGTGTGTGTGTGTGTGTGTGTGTGTGTGTGTGTGTGTGTGTGTGTGTGTGTGTGTGTGTGTGTGTGTGTATGTGTTTCAAAACCTCTTGTATGAAACAAAAATATAGAATACAATATTGAAAGAAGGAAATGTTTCGCCATTTCTTAAAGAAAAAAGTCACAGAAATGCAATTTAGAAAGGAAAAGAGATTTGAAGTGTGTTGGAACACTGATGTGAGAGTTGACGAGGACAATTTATTCGACCTGCGTGAAGGTTGTTAAGTAAAAGAAATGTGTCTGTTGTCTCACGTGGAAATTTAGGGAAAAATGAATTCAACTTCCGCTCCATTGCAGAATATGTCTTGCCTCTGTGATATTGTTGTTTTTGTGTAATGATTTAAATTGGATGAAAGTTGTGTTTTATGAGGAGGAGATGGTGAGAGCTGGCTGGTAGAAGGAGCAGGAGGAAAAATTCTCTCACTTATTCAATTATTTAAGAATGACGTTCATACAGCTGACACAAGCAGTACCTGAGCTCACTGTAGATACTTAAGAGCAAAACATTCCTGTTGAAGAGAATAATTTGCCCAGACTCTGAGAAAATTTGCCGTTTCTGAATAAATTACTTGACTTTAAAGTTGAAAAAGAAAAGGTGTCTCTTAAGTCGGACAGTTTATGAAAAAATAAACTTCAAATTACTCTCGAGGACGTGGTAAGTTGTTGCCTCCAAGTGAATAATCTGAATGTAAATATCAATATGAATAAAAAAAAATAAAGTATCTCTTCTGCAATCTGGAGATGTCTTAGTCCTGGGAAAAACTAGAAATAAAGGCAAATATATATATATATTATGAAGAGACCTTGAAAAGATAAAGGTATAACTTTTTTTGAGGAAACATTGATACTAACAGGTAACCTCTTAGGATGAGAACTGGAAAGAATAATGTCTCTCTCTTCCGACGATAATTTGATAAAGGAAGATGTGTCCATTCAGAGAAGAACTTGAAAGGAAGAGGATTCTTTCTCTTGTGAGGAGGACAATTTATGACAACATCCTACGACAAACTTGGTTCAAGAGGACAATTTGCCTGAGTCTTGTGTGTGTGGGGTGAGTGAAGTCCTCGGGAGTACCAGTTAAAGGAACAGGAGGGGGGGGGGAGGCCTGACACACCTCCCACTTAATTAACAAGTCACGCGTCCCTTGCCTGGCCCGCTCGTGTCCACACATATCACTTGTCCTGTGTGTGTTGTGTTGTGTTGTGTTGTGTTGTGTTGTGTTTTAGAGGCTGAGGGAGAGACGAATGGAAGGGGATATGAGAAAGAAAGAGGGGTGTTGGAGAGAATTCAAGAAAAGGAGGGAGAACGGAAAGAGGTCAATGGAGGAAGAAAAAGTGATGGAATAAACGAAATAAACGAGAGAGAAAACTTACTTTTGATTAAGTTAGACAGCGAGGCGTCAGAGAACCTCCTAAGGTCATGTAAAATGAAAGAGTCATAAATGTTATTCTCAGCTGGCGTTATAGATGAAGCAAATGGCGGTGTTTCCCATGATAAAAGAGGACGACTTTGGGTATAAACGCGATCATTATTGTTAACGAGATTTTCCAAATGACACTGCCGTTCATGGTGGTGATATATGCAGAGAGTAATGAGATATCTAATGAGCCATCGCTGTATAATTTTGACATGATTGTATTACATATATGACATTATGGCGTGTATAATTAATATATATATATATATATATATAAATAAGCCGTAGTGCCGAGCGTTCTCTTGATGGTAGATAAACTCACAGAAGGATCTTGAGCGAGGTAAAAACGAAGAGTTAATGCTTAAATAAATCGTGTTGTTGGTTTCCGGAGCAGCTGAGCTCTGTACTGTTATGTTTCTGGCAAGGTTCCTCCTCCAGGGAGCCAAACACAGGAAAGCTTTTACTTGGTTGATGAGATCTAGTGTCTGCAGTGTGTGTAGTTCAAGAGTGCCTGCAGGGGTGATCGTCACTCCTTTAGTAATAAAGAGTTACACAACATTGGGTTTACCAGCGGTGCCTCTGGAGAGCCTCCAACATTACACCTTTGGAGGGAATAATATAATAAAAAACTTTATTTCAGGCTTTAAACAATGGTACTTGGAAGAGGCAGCAGACAGTTCGTCTTTGAAGGAAAGATGATAATGCAAACTTTTATCTCATAACGTAAGTAAAGATTTTATTCCCGAAAAGTCTCAAAGGAACTGGAGCAAATAAGACAAAGTTAACTTTTAACTCAATAACAAGAGAACAACAGCTCCTTCGAAAAGGTTTGAACCTTGTGATGTTTAAAAGGGAAACATAAACAGGCAAACTTTTTATTTCATAGGGAAAACCCACCGAAAATTTTGGTCAGAAACTATGAAGAACCAGAACGGCGTTAAATCTCTAGCGTGGCGGGAGATATACAGCGCTGTGTGTAGCCAGACAATAACAGTTACTGCACTCTCATGTCTTCCGCAATAAAGTAAATAAACGAGTGAATACCGGGTAAAGAATGGCCTACGAAATTATTTAAGAAGCGGCAGGATGTAGAGACGGCTTGATGTATTTAAATGCAAGTGAGAGAGGTTCTCCTGTAGTGACGTGCTGAGTTAGAGAGAATTTTTCAATATGGCAACTGCACATGATGTAGGTGAGGAGAACGCTCTCTCTCTCTCTACCTGCTATGTATTAACTCCTGCTTGTCATATGCTCATTAAGCCAAATCTTACATCTCTTGTATATTGTAACATACGTCCATATGAATCATATGCCATATATAGATTCCTAGTGGCAGTACTTGGTTATTATACAAAGACTTACAAAACATGGATGAACGCCACGCAGAGTACAAGAATGTTCAGTATTTATGTATTCATATATTCATGTCAATATTTCTGTAGGGAAATTTCCTTTTGTATTTCACTTTAGAATATAATCGGTTTTTTTTTCTTTTTCTCCCAATCCCAGGCTTGGCTCGGGCTCTCTGCAAGCGAACAATTCCAGGATGTGTCGGCAACGACTGCACAGAGTAAGTGTACCTGCCACCTGCCCATCAGGAGCTATTACACCTTATATCTAACACATCATTCCATTATCTTTTCTCCTGGCAATCAGTATTACTTTTATTACCTCTGTGTCTTGCTCTTTTTTATTTCTCCGTCAGCGGATATTTTCTTCTACTAATCAGAGTCGTTTAGTCTTATTTTACCTTTTTTTCGGTCATTCAGTGAGTCCTTCAGTAATACAAAGTCTTAGTGTTCTGCAATCAAATAACAAATTCAATAATATAAAATCTTAATTGTCTCTAACTAATCCGTGTTGTTCTATCCCACACACCTTATTTCCGCCTCTCAACCAATATCTTTCAACACCATTATTTTTTCCTTATTCATCCCTGCCTTCCAGTGGGCGAGTTATAACCAATTAATATTGTTTATACCATAGGCCTATTAGTACCTGTCCTAATATTCACCTATAACCTGTCTTATCCTACGAGCCAATTAGTGTACCTCGAAGATGTTCGCATTCATACCTTAACGACCAATTTAAGGGATAAACACTGGAAAAAGATAATAAAAAGAGACAGTGAGACAAAAATACGAAAGAGCAGATGAAGAAGAATACGAAGAAAACGAAAAAAAGAAGAAGAAACAGTATAATAATTCCACTGTTCAATCAACTTCAGTCACCCAGAAACCTACGTATTGGGTCAGAGCGGCATCAGAGACTTGGCCTTAACAGGTTCCCTCGACGTTGAAATTACGGCATCTAGCGTTATCCTGCGTCAGGACGTGACTTTGCGCTTATTAATAAACGATAATGACCGACCGTACGTGAGAATCTGTATGTAAGCGCCGTGCTAATTGGCTAATGGTGTATTTGCTCACGGAGTTACCAATTATTGTTTTTTCCTAATTAGTTTATTTTGTTCCTCCTTTATCGAAAATTTAATGGCCAAGGTTGATATAATGATGCTAATATTCTCGACAATAAATATTTGGACAACCCAAATCATTCATACGTTAAATCCTTGTATTGTTGTAATATTACTGGCAATTTACTTAAGGATAAATTACGCAATTCGGACCTGAGAAACTGGCTATAAATAAGCTCGTCGTTGATTGGTTAATTGGATATGTCCTCTCGTAGTTCCCAATTAATGTGGGTTTTTTTCATTACATGTTCTTTCAAAACTTAGAGGCAGTAAGATTGTTTATCGCTGTAATTCGTATCAATAAAACAATACCAGGTGTTTTTGACCTCTTATTTGTTCGTGAGTCTTTGATTAGTTAATGGTCTACTCGAACTTACCAATAATTGTTTGTGTTATTTGTTTATTTGTTTTAATTTATTTATGTGGAATATTTATGTTACATTAGTTGTGGTGATTAAATCCTGTACAGGGTTACTATATACTATAACCACCATGTACTACAGCTACCTTGTTCAGTCCACGTCACTTATAAGCCACACAGACTGGCGGTCTCGAAATTCCTAACATACAACTTTGCTGGGTGCATCCCTTCCCCACCCCACCTCCAGAAACACACAGACCAGGCAATTAATCGGTGGTCAGCTAAGGTGTAAATCAACGCTTACCCGCAAACTATCAACACGTCCAATATTGCCCAATAAGGCCCTGTCATAATTTACGCTCTCACACTAATACTGAAATAAATCCATCGTGTCTGTGGCGGACGGACGGACGGACGGACGGACAGCATCATTGCTGTATACTGTATCCCCAAACTTTTGGTCAGGGAGGAATACTGTGAGAAAGAAAATTTAACGCTGGTTAAAAAGGAACGGCACCCCCAATACATTAAAGCGAATGACTTTCTATCTTCATAAAACTTAAAAATTACATCGACAAATACTTTGATGTACATGAAGGAGGAGATACGCGACTCACCGAAAACATTGGTCTCTGACGCTAAGTTGTGACAGTATCAACACTGAAAACTTCAATATCAAATGGTTCTCTACCCAAAAAGACCTTAATTCTTATCGCACCTGAGGCATTGCGGTCCCGTGCATTATGGGTGGAACCCATTAAAATTGAGATCCATTGGAATTATTACTTACTGGGATTGGGACCCGTTATTACTAAGCTCCAGTCTTAATGGTTAGGTCAGGTTGATACCAATTAGGGCTGGGACCTGTTTGACCAATCAACATCTGATATAGAGGACATGACGCCTCCAAAACAGGAAGCCATAACAACACGGTGAGGGTCATTTTATATACGTGTAGCAAGAGCTTTCCAGGAGAGATACGGATGCCTCTAAAACAGGTGAGTGTGATCACTGTAACCACTTGAACGGCGTGAAGGGGCGTGAGGGGGGGAGCTTTCATATAGACAACACCTGGATCACAAGCGACAACAAAGATGGTGTAAGGATAAGGAGTGGTTTTGACGTACGCGTGAAGGAATGGGGGCATCACGTTGACTCACTAATAGGGGAGGGCCACTGACGTCCTTAAAGCGTAACGTTCCTTTAAAACTGTTGAGGCATGCGTGAGGCTCCATACTAAACTGATAATAAAACGATAAATTGAATATGATAACTTGGGCGTACCTGAGTTATGGTGTGTTAATTGTCCCTTTAAGAGCTGTTTTAACTCACATTTACCTGGAAAAAGAAAAAGAAAAATCTAGTTGAGATTACCTGCACTCTATACCACACACACACCGCTACATACTTATTCACACTTAACTTACTCGTACAGGAACCCACAAAGGCAGAACCAATGATCTTAAGCATTAACTTATGCAAACTGGATGACTAAGAGAACCTGTTCAATATGTCAAGAACACAACAGTAGTATCAGTAGTAGTTACCTTGTGCTGGTGGAAGAGGAAGCCCTGGCATCGTACAGGGTCACCTCCTGGCACTGTCTTGACACTTTTATGACACCTTATGGCACTTGACGACACCTTGCTGCAATCCATGGAATATTTCACACCTTGCGACAGTTCAAACCACTTTGCAACACTTTACAACATTAATGACACTTTACGACACGTTGCAAGATTTTAAAGCATTACTGGTACTTTATTGACACTTTACAAAATCAATAGCACTTAATGTCACTTTGAGAGACTCCACAGCACCTTGTAGCACTTTTTGACACAGTATGACACTATTGTATGTTGCATAGACACTTTATGACACGTCATGAAACTATATGTTTTTTTACAACAGCATGGAACACTGACCTTTAGGGTACTTTGACAGCTTAGGACACTTTGGCACTTTAGAACATTTTGACAACTTAAGACACTTCATGACACCTCTGACACTTAATAGCTTTTTTTCATTGTGCACCATATCATAAGGCATTATTAGACTTGATGGCACTTTATCAGACTATTTATGGTACTCTAACACCTTATGCCAATTTATGACACTTTATACCACTCTTATGACACGTATGGGTGTTTTTGGCGCCCACAATTACTTTGTGAAAGTTATAAGTCTCCATGGCATAAATACTTGACATCACTTATAAAACGCCACAGCCCAAACACGTTATGACACTTACAAACACGTTATATTACATGTGATCACTTCACAATACTCAAAAGCACTTTTTGAAATTGAAGTCCACTTTGAGACACTTATAACTACTTTACGACACTTATAAATATTATGTGACACTTGCAAACTCTACATGACACAAACGCTTTACTACACTGACGAACACTATGAGATACTTTGCAGACCTCGTCAATTATAGTCTCATCACCGGCTGTTTGTTTGTCTATAAGCCGTCGTATACGTCCTTACTGGCACCAAGGCAGAGACAGCACTGTGAACGTGACGTCTTCTTAAAGGTCTTTGTCAACATTCTCATAAATCCGAAACCACGAAACGAGGCAGATTCAAGACTTGAGCGAACCGGACAAACTTCGTCCCAGTACTATAACAGACTGAATTTGGTCGTGTTTAACTAATTCGTTTCGCCACACATGTAGCTTTAGACATCTTTGTCTTTATATGTTCTAATTATTAAGTATAAGGCAAAGTATTACACAAGATTATATGACAATATAATCAACTAGACACTGCGGCAGCGAAAACGATCGAGGAGGTTTGTGTTTCTGGAGGTGGAGAGAGGGAGGAATGCACCCAGCGAAGATGCCGGTTAGGAATGTTGAGGCCGTCAGGCTGTTTGGCTTTTAAGTGGCGCTAACTGTACAACAGCTACCATGAACTGTTTATATATATATATATATATATATATATATATATATATATATATATATATATATATATATATATATATATATATATATATATATATATATATATATATATATATATATATATATATATATGTGTGTGTGTGTGTGAAAAAGCATAATTACAACTTGAATTCATAAATACGTTCGTGTGCTGTTGTAGTTAAAATACCACTGAATGTGAAAGCCAGGGATTTCTCAGCACTTTTTCCAATAGCGATATTACAAATTTCCATCAGAGCTTGCAACTCATTTTCTAAAAGTCACATAAAACATCACTGCATATAAAAAACGGGGAACTAGACTCCCAAATGCCTTGTTTCAACACCGACTCTAAATTTACACAAACTATTATTGAATATCGGACACCAGAAAAAAAAGATACCATATTCTTTTTTCGCCCATTTTTCAACCAAACTTATACTTCGAAATAGGAAATCCCATCTGCAGAAATTCCGGGTTAGTTCTGACCAATACTTTCCCTGCAGTAAGAGTCGAGAATACCCTTCCAATATTTCATTACCAGCAATATTACACCTTCACCGATAAAAAAAAAAGAGTATGGTATATTTCCTTCTGACTTTCATAATGTCCACATTTTATTTATTTTTTCTTATAAACTAGAATAGAACGAGGATCTCTTCTCCTGATGATACCACAATAACGCTGAGGTAAAACCCACCTTAGAATTGACGTCCTCTCGAAAATCAGGAAAATTATGGGAAGATGGTGGGTGTGGGAAAACCTGATATCCGGACATGGGTTTGCGTAATCCCAGTTAG